CTTCTTGCGTCTCAAAGTCTGCATCTTTCTGGCGGAGACAAACTCAGAGTTGAAACGTACTACCCATGTCTTTCGAGCATGGTACAAAGCCATGACCTTGTAGGCTTCATGCGAAGACTTGGTCAGAGAGTCGGCTAAGTTGAGATCACTTGGAACCCATGTTGGATATGACCTCATGTGATCTGCTGTGCCCTTCTGGACATGAAGCATTTCCACGCCGGTGCGTGAATTTGACATACCCAGCATCACGGAGTCGGACGTGGTGATGGCATCATAGCATCCTCGGCTATCCATAACCAGCAGTGATTCCATCAAGCTGGTCAAATAGTCTGGGTTCTGACGTGTCAACGTCATTCCATTCATCAGCGCCCAGAAGAGGCGATTCTTCCATCCACGATCTTCTGTCTCATAGATGCTTTGGCTCTCGGCATTGTTCGATCCTCTCGCAGGTCGATCAAGCTTCCAGGACCGCCAGTCAATGATGGTGACTGGAGCCTCTTTGCCATTGAGGATCTCGGGATCAGCAAAACCAGTGATGTAACCTCCAGTTGCACCACCACAAGGACGGTTGTTGCCACTCGCATCTCCGAAATGCAGGCCAATGAGCTCGTACCATTTCAACTTCTTGGTTCGGTGAAAGTTGAAGCTATGGAAGATCAAGTCTTCCTTGGAAGTCTTTCGCAACTCCTTCATCAGAGAGTTGGCCTCCTTGAGTTCCTTCACTGTAGGCTGTGACAGTGAAGACGCCAACAGCCCAATTCTGGCACAATATTGGGGAGCCGTTTGGATAGCTCGCCATTGTGCTTTCATGGTCAAACCGCGGCACTGCGTCAGCTCAGCAGGTGTCAAAGGGTCTGCTGAAGGTCGCGAGTGCTCATTCTGAATCATGATGGGACGAAGATTGTTGCAAAAGGTCTCCTGTGTCATGTAGATGTTGTAATCTTTGGTTTGACGAAGTTCAATTCCGGCAAACACAAAGGAACCTGACTGCCATGGTGACCACTTGTACATGTTCTTCAAAGCTGCTCGAAAAGCCTTCCAGGTGTCGTTGTTCTTGTCACCTGCAATCAAGAAATCATCAACATGCGAAGCCACTCTGCCTACCACCAACTCAGGGTTGCTGGCATCCATGACCAACCAAATGCACTTGTCTAAAGCATGTCTGCGAGCTCCATTTCTCACAAGCTTGCTATCTGCATCTTTCCAGAAAATGCGAGGTGCACTTGTCAGGCCATAAAAAGCACCAAGAACCTGGAGTGCTTCCCAACGTGAGATGCCATAGGCATACTGAAGTTCAGGCACCCCATAGGTGAAGATCGCATCTGTTCCAATACCTTCATCAGCCTGCAAAAAGGCTGACTTGGCATCTGCCGACTCCAACTCATGCTCATCCAAGGCGACAGCTTGAAGAAATTGCTGCCTTCCAATCCTTGACAGAGTCGGAGCTGAGGTTTGAAGTTGGCGCCGTCCGGTTCTTTCATCCCGGCGAGCTAAATCTGGGTGTTTGTATCCAATGAGCACAACTCGTGCTTTGGCCTTCGAGAGACCATCTGGTCTCAGCACTGTTGGAGTGCCATCTGTAGGAGGCTTCTCAGGAGCATCCAGTGGCTTCCAAGTCAAAATCCATCTCATAGGCAAACATCGCTCACGAAGGACATCTTCTGGGACATATTCACGCAGTGCACGCAAGGACTGCGATCGAAGAACCTCTGAAATTTCTCTTGCCATGGCCTCCATCATCAACTTTTGATCTGCTTCTGTCAATTTGCGAAAGTTCACTTCTTTGCTTGGACTTTGAAGCTTCTGGTTGATGTATGCCGTGTGGTCCATGACAAAGGCAGACATGTCATCTATCTGCAAGTCAATGAAGCAGCATTCTTCATCTAAGGCATCGGACGATCTCATGTAGTTGAGCAGCAAGGTTTCTTTCGACTGTTCCTCCTCAATCCATGCAGACATCTTCGCAGCAGAGGTCTCTGAGACATCAGCGTCCTTCTCTTCAGGGATCAAGTCATTTACAAGGAGTTCCTTGGGCTGTTCCACCATGTCATTCTGTGGAGTGTCCTCTGTGTCAAGATGGAACACATTGGCAAGGCCCGCATTGGTGTCAATCATGTTGGCGGAACGCTTTGTTCCTGTTGCGGTGCCGGCTTCATCATCTGTGCCAATGTAGTGCTCATCAACCTTACGCTTGGCGCCACGGAAGACAATGAACTCCGTGCGACCAGTCCAAGGCTTCACGAAACTCTTCTCTTTGACACTTCCGTCTTGCCAATCATCGTTGTATGAACCACTTTGTTCACCATCATCCCAAAAGGTGGTTCGTCTCTTCACAAGATCGGCAATTCTAAAGGGAGTGTCAGCTTCATTTCGAGGATCAAAGAGAGAGATCCGTGGTGTTGAATGATGCCTGATCAACTTGTTCTCCTTAACTTTTACCTCCCAAGTATCCGGCGGATATTTGCCATCATCTTCCGGAAGAAGAGCAAGTGGTGGCAATCCATCTTGTCTGCGAACCTCATTCAAAGTCGTCAAGCGATTCCATTTGGAGATCTCTTGCTTGACTCGTCCTCGTTCAGCTGATCTGCTGCGGGAATGCCTTCTTGGAGCATGGCTGTCACTGCCTCTGCTCACGTCCTTTTGCCATTCTTGAGGAGGCTGTGCTGTCAACGGAGTAGTAGAGGGAGAAACCCCATCATCAGGAGGCACCTCGGGCAGTAGATCTTGTTCAGGATCAAAGCGAGGTTCCTTCGTCACATCCACACTGGAATGCAATCGTTGAAGAAGTTCTGACATTGGAAGTGTGGCCTTGTGACCCAGTTTTACAGCCTCTGTGATGATCTCCTCTTCCGTTGCAGGCCTAAGTTGCTCTGGAGCGCATCGCCACAAAGCTGTTCCCATCAAGACCCAGAACACTGCAGGTTGTCCACCATCAAGGGCGGCTGGTTCCATCATTGCAACACGACCAGGTCCAATGAACCTGGCTTCTGGGTTGAACTCACGTCTGCGAGACTTCACTGAAGCCCGTCGCCAAACACAGACCCAGTCGCCCACCGCATATGCTCTGGTAGGTCTAGATGCCGCATTGCTCAAGCGGGACATTCTTTGCTTTGCAAGTTCTTGGCGATGGATCTCTTCTGCTTTCTCACGGTTTCGTTGCAGCTGCCAAAATTCAACGGGATGATTCATTCTATCTTCATTTGCCATCAAAGGGTTAATCTCGCCATGCCACTGGTTCGGATCTGAACCATAGGCCCATTGATTGGGAGAGAAGCCCTTCACTGCATCCACGTTGTTTTGTGCCATAGCTGCCAACTGACCACATACTTTGGGAGAGATCGTAGGTTGTTCATTGCGGATCCTTTTTATTGTGGACTTCAAAGCTTTCACCATAGACTCAGTACTGCCGTGCTGCCATGGTGCTTGTCCAGCAGTGACACTCATGCCAACACCTATCGAGGACAGGAACTGGGTGAAAACGCCCTTGCATAGAGAGGACTGAGAATCCACGAGGACCCACTCAGGCTTTGGCCTATGGAGCAACCAACTTTCAATGAAAGCTTCAACCAAACGATCTCCCGGATCTGTGCCAGCTTCATGTAATTCACCTTGCCACAAATGAAAAACTGAAGTCAAACGCATGGTCAAACATAGCATTACCAGATACCTCGACTTCTTGCCTTGGCGAGGAAAAGCTAGTTCATAGACATCCATTCCCAAGATCTGCCAGGGCTTGGAACGGGCACCCAAGCTCACAGGAAGGGTTAATTGCTCACCCTTCGTGGTGTCAACGCAAGCTTGGCATTTCAACTTCAAGGCCATCTGAATCAGCCACTGTGGCATCTTTCGATCTTGGCAAAGTCGAGCGAGAGCTCGGTTATGGGGATGCCCTGCTGCACGATGAAGTCGGTGAAGCAAAGACCATGCCTTCTGTCTTTCCAACTCCACTTCCTTCGGGACTGGCTCGTCTTCTTCGACGGTCTCATCCGCAGGTGCTTCACTCCCTTCTGCAGTATAGCCCTTCTCGAGGGTGTTCAAAGCTTGGAAGATTTGTTGATCATTCACCTTCCTCGCTTTGAACCATTGGCCTTTCCATAGTTTGGCAATAGCCTGGACCATGCTCTCAGGGTAAAAGGCTGTGTCGCTCACTGCTTTGCTTCCCATGCCAACCATACCACCAGGACGATGTTCATGTCTATGATCACAAGTGAGTTGGCATTGTTTCTGAAACTCCCAGTCGTTTGTCATCACAATCCAACTCTTTTGCACTGGCCATCCATCCGGACTTTTGACACCATGCATGCAGCCGTCAATCTGGACAAAGTAGAGCTTGCCATAGTACTTCTGAAACTCATAGATAAACTGTTGCATCTCTTAAAAGTTCCAACCATCGGTGGCCCATTTTGGCCATTCAAAGTAGAACAAAGAAGCTCCGGAAGTCACCAGCATCAAAGTCCAAATTAGGGTGATGGCTGCTTTCAAATGGCGTCGGCATTTTTGGCGCTTTTTCCTGAAATCATTCACTTGCTTCTCAGTTCGTTGATTCAAGCGTTGGATGGATGTGATTGCAGTGCAAAGGAGACTGATCCACAAACGGTCAGGAGGAATACCGCTTTGGATCTCATTCTTCAATTTGTCAACATGTTCTGGCTTGCCCATGTCATACCCAGTCTCCAGAGTTTTGCGATGAATGTGCATGCCATGTTTCTCACAAACACGGCTCAGAGCGGAGTCAACTCGGCAGCACACTTCCCAAAAAACAAAAGGCTTTGCAAAGTCCTGCAGGGCCCCCATGATGGAGCCTGGCTCGTTGAATTCTTTCGTAGTGTTCAGCAAAAGCTGAGCCGTGTGCTCGGTCAAGAGCTGCTCATCTTCCTTGAAGGCTTCTTCCACTTTCACTTGGTCGCCTCCGTCGCGACCACTTGGAAATCCTCGCCGTCGGAGGCAATCTCCTGAGCCGCTGCCTTGGCCTTCGACTTCTCGCGACTCGGGGGTCCAAAAGCCTTCGCCTTTGGCTTGATGAGCTGATACTCCTTGGCCACAATGGTGATCATGGCACGCACTTGGGTCTCCGTCAGATCGTTCTCGCTCCAGCCGTTGTTGCGAAGTCGATGCAATGCCTCCACCACATTCTGCTGGTGATCGCAATGCATTGTCTGAGCTGGTGCTGTTGTGCTTGGAGTATACGATGTTCGAAGGCCGCATCGTTGACAGGTCTCCCATTTCGCAAAGCGGTTTCCGCCTGGCTTTGGATTGTGCTGGCCGTGACATGGCCATTGAGTTTCCTTGGTCCGGGGATCTCGAAGATCCGCACCTGTCTTTCTGGTCTCGTCGTACACCACCTTCTGCTTTGTCTGGCCCTTGTCGGACTTGGAAGGTTTGGCCTCCTTGCTTTTCTCTTCGGCCAACACTTCTTTGACTGCCTTCTTGATCTCGGCAGTCAAGTCTGACGACTGGGCCATGCTGAATTGGGATCACTGGGTCGATCACACTTTCTTCAAAGGCTTGACCCAAAAGAAAACGAAATTGCTCATCTGACACTCCTAAATGTCGCTGATTGGGCTCATCGTCTTGAGTTTGACAGGCCATGACATCTGCACTGAAAAAATCTGCATCGCTATCTTCACCAAAAAGAACATCGAGTGGAAACATATCTAAAACATGTCCGTCGAGAGATGAATCGGCAAAACTAACCCTTGAGGCTGGCCTGGATGCAGTAGTTCGCTGTTGAAGTGCAGATTTCTTTGGCCTGGGCACGGCTGTCGCATTCGTGACAGAAGCGTTCTCTGGGGCAAAGACATGCTTGAGGTAGTCGATAATGAGGTGGTTTTTGTGATTCTTCTCTAAAGTGACCTGGGAACCATTCAAAATGCATCGACCTGATTTGCAGTTCAAAATGGCTGACATACTGTCTAGTTCACGCATGCCGGTGAGGACTGGGACACCAATGGAAGGCAATGCATACATAGAGACGGTGAGGTTCATGTTGGGGTCCATCAAAGAAACCTTGTATAGTGCCCGGCCCCAACGACCATTCCCAAACCGAAACCACGGGCGAGAATTCTCGTGGATGGTCACTTGCAGGTCTGGGCGTGCTGATACAAGTGCTTTGCACAAATCTCGCACAGCCTGTTTGCCACCGGCTGTCGCTGTCGCGCCGGTGTCGACTAAGGATTCCACAGCAGAGAGTCGTTCCGAGGACTCAGACTGTGCCTGAACTGGGGCAAAGAACATCTCGTCATCATCATCCAAGGTGAGCATGTGGTAGTTGTTTCCGGAAAACTTGCCCTTGCCCTTGGAACCATATTTGCCTCCAGAACGACCCTTGCCTTTCTGACCTTTCAACCAGTTGCCATCCATCGACTTGCCCTTGTGTGGAGAACTCTTGCCGCCATGTTGTCCCTTTGCACCACCTTGCTTGCCCTTCCACGGAAAGGTGGAAGTGGATCGAGCTTGTCTTTGTTGAACTGTTCCAGACCAACCACGATCCCGTGCAGCTGCTGCCACTGCACGACGAGCATCCATCAGGTTGCGGTCCGTCTCTGAAAGCATGTTTTCTAACTCATGTTTCTGCTTCTCGATCTCATCCTGCTCTTCTTGAAGGCGAAGAAGGGTTTCATCTGTCTCTTCTCCATGACCATCATGTTCATTCTGATCTGTCTCCCCCCAATATTGATCGTTCCATTCGTCATTGGGGTCATAGTCATTGGAGTAGCCAGGATCAACCTAGGTTTCACCATAGTAACCATACTCGCCTTCACAAGCAGGGTCATACTCAGAGTCATAGAGCTCGACCTCCTGATAGTACTGGCGATGGCCACCAGTCTTTCCACCAAAAGGCATACGCTGAGCAGTTCTTTCCTCGAACATGCCCAACAAGGCATTGCGCACCTCAGAGTATGTCAAACGATTCCTCGTTGCCGCCTTGATCAAGCGGCGATCTTCATCACTTGTGGAAGTCATTTCCAGCAAGAGCCAACCACGGATGTGGTCCAAAGCTGCCAAAGGCATCAAGCCTTTCTCCATCAAGCGCTCCAAGACATCTTTTCCACGTCGAGTCTCTGGCTCGGCATTTGATGAAGTGCTCCTACTTGAGTGAGCCCCTCGGAAAGGAGCTGCTGATGCTGAGAAGGGTCGACCAGCCTGAGAACCTCTAGGGGTCTGTGTCCGCTCATCAGCGGTGTCATCACCTGGGCCATCTGTCGCCTCATCGGCCGTCACGTTCACATCGTCAGGGCCGTAGTAAAGCGACTGACCTGGCTGGAAACCACAGAAATTCTTCAAGGCCTCCATGTCCATGTCATATTCTTCAAAAGACAACTCCTTCTCACGTAGCAACCTCTGCAATGCCCTGATCATGTCATCATGGGTCTTCTCTTCACGTATCAGAAAAGCATTGACTGGCTCTTGATGTTTCCTATGCAGTCTTCGATAATAGTTTCCAATCTTTGCACCCGCATCTGGCAGTGGTTGTTTGTTGAGCGGTGACTCCTCCAAGTATTTGATCAACTTGTTCACATCGGCTTCATTCCTGAAATCCTCAGGTCGCAAACGATACATCAGTTGAACAAGGGTTGGATGAGGAGATTGTAGTGCTCGACGAACAATTCTAGCTGCCAAAAGGGGGCGATCAGAAGCTTTGCTTGACTGCAATGACCACTTGCACTCTACGATGAAGTGTGAGAATGTCTCTGCCTTGCCATCCCACATAGGGATCATGCTCCTGTCATCTTGTTTGTCATGCGACATGCTGCTAGTCCCTGATCTCACAGAGCTCCGCGGCACCAATACCGCTGGGGATAGATTGACCACAGTCTATTGGATGAAATCTCGTTAGACAGCAAATCGGCTAAAGCACATGCACGGCACATGAACCGCGGACAAACATCTTTTGGACTCGTGCTCTGAGGCTCAAATGGCGCCACTAGTCATGAAACATGTAGGATCTGAGGACTCAATGCACATGTATGAAACAATAATCATGTGATAATCCCAAAGATGGAATATATAGATTCTTAAAGATGATTATAGATTATTCTAGATGATAGCGACAATCATCCCATTTCATCAGCCAAGACCTGAGCATTGCTCAGCTGCTCAGCGTCAGCATCCCTGGGACTCCCAACTTCCACGCTGAGTTCACTGTGAAGCACCTCCAGGCCATAGACTTCTACAGCCTGGCAGGCTGAAAAACCGGGGCTCCCTGAGGCTCCCTGTGCTTCAGAAAAAAAAACATACACATATGACTCACATTACGCAAGTAATGCAATGTAATATATCAATATAATTATGATGCATATTATAGTTTATATTTATATAGTTTGATAATCAAATCTTTGAGAATGAATTGCACAAGTGCCGCTTTTGGAAAGGAGAGAGACCACGGAAAACCCAGGTCACGCACACTATCAACACTATCATGAGCCAACAGAAAGAGTGTCTGTTTCACAACCAACTGATCCAAAGCTGTGACCCAAAGGTGCCTGGGGATTGACTCGAGCTCCTTTCAGGTTTAGGTGGCCAATGTCCCGGCCGAGACTTGTCTGCACTGTCTCGGGTGAGATGCCTTCAACATAATCTGACCTTGGCACATGGAGATGAGTCACTTGAGATCCTCTCATTTAGGGATATTCCTCCAATATTCATAATATTTAGGAACAATGCAGCAACACTAAATTGAAGCCCACCACCACATTGGATCCACATTGGATCCACATTGATCCAGGCCGGGCCTAAGGTTTGGACAAGGCCGACGCCAACTGCCTAACCAACCAGTTCTTCATGCTAAAAACAGGCGCAGGAGATCCATGTTGGAGTGGCTGTACCTCTTGTGTGCTGTGAAACAACTGCAGTCTGGCAAGATGGCCCAGTGAGTCGAGTGTTGAAGCGACTGGAGCGACTATCAGAATAGAATTGTCTGAGTCTGTCGACCATTGATCCGGTGTTCTTGGCATGTTCTTGACATGACTGTACTACCGTGGTGCCTGAATTTCTAAGCAGCTTCAAAAAGGCATGTGTGAAGAATGACCCGCAATGCAACAAGCCCATGCTGTTTGACATCTCGTCACAAGCTCTGTCACTTGTCTTTTGCTACCCGTTGAGGCTCAACTGGAACATACCTCTGCTGCTTTGCAGCTAGTTCCAGTGGTTCACTAACAACACATCTCCATTTGGAGACGCGTCAGACATACAGTATCTTGGGATCACTCCCGTATCGAGATCACAGATGGGCATCGGTCACTACCCTGCCTCTCAAGAACTGGTAGGGATTGGGTAGAGCATGAGGCCACCGTGTTCGTACAAGACTTTACAGACACCTCAGAAGAAAAATGAGCAAAAAAAAACACTTGCTGCAACTTCTAAGGAGTTACTCCTGGAGAGTGATCCTGAACTGCTGAACTTGCATGGACATGAAGTGTCTTTCGGGATTGGCATGATTCTGATCGAGGCACCAAATCATCTGGGACCTCAAAGAACTCCTTCAGCACACCGCCTCTGGGTCTTTCATCTGAAGGATGTCTCAAGGGACGCAGGTTTTGAGGTCGAACCTTCAAGTACCTGACCAGATCCGATCACCATGCGAATCTGGATGCTGCAATGCTGGGCCCCTATCATGACCAGATCGAGAGCCATATCCATATTCCATCCTCCATATTTCATATTGCATATTGCAAATACATATTTGCCCTGCACACATGTGTCCATACTAGGGTTTTTTTAATAATCCCCCACTATTGAACTGTGCCTTTCCCAATGTTCAAAGCTGCGAATTTCACAGGTGGCCTTGTACCTTCCTTGCCAGATTTCTCGCCAAGGGTGGCTCGGGACGCACCAGCTCGCGTGGTGCGGGCCCACTTCGGCATGCGGACCTGGAGAGCTATGCGTCAAAAATGGAAAACTCCAGATTTTGAATGCAGAAAAGTAGTTGGTGTGGCATGGTGTAGCTGGAGATTCAGCCGCCCACCTACATCGAAATCAAGGAACGTCATTGAAAATCATAGGTCTTGACCCACCATAGGTTTTTCACAGGGCTTTGTCTCACAGCGATCCAAAGTGAGGACTTGCCCTGCTCAAGTTGGAGGGTTTTCTAAGCACAGACGCGCCTTGAGAAAGCCCAGTTCATCAGCATTACCTCCGAGAGGCACACAGATTCCCTTTGATATGGCTATGAGTCAAGACCCTGGTGCCCGGATGGTACCCTAAGTCATAGCTGGTTTATGGATGTTTATTTCCCCAATCATAAGGTAATTTCATTGGTTTTGACCCATGCCCATATCCATTGATATCCGTTCAGAAACCTTTCATGCTTTCTGTGAGCCAAGTAGCTGAAATCCACGTAGCCCTGAAGTCCGTTGAGATGCGGTTGACTCTCCGACTTCACGATCTCAACTTGCTCACCAGGCGCTTGGAACCGGAATCTGCGTGGACCACCGTGCTTCAATTCGAACATTTCACGGGCCTCAGGGAAGCAGCGGAAACAGTGACCCTCATGCAAGAAAGCTTCCAAAATGTGCACGTTTGCCCTTCTTTCTAGGAACAATCTGAACTTCTGAGAATCCAGCGTGCTCTTGTTTTTTCGTTGCCTGGACTTGTGATCAAGGTTTGAGACAAAGCTTACTGGCGAACTGCAAACCTGCATGCCCGCCCCAAGCCTCTTGGAACTGCTTCATGAAGTTCCAGGGGGTTTTGTTCATGTCCAGCGGCCGCGTCGACATCGCCTGACTAGTGACTAGTGAGATCAGTTGGATCAAATACAGAACGAAAAAAAGATCCGTCCTCACAGTGCACCTGTTCTCCAAAGTTTGACCAACCAAGTCGGCTCTATTTCTTAGTTGCGATTCTTTACTACCATCTGGTTGTTTAACATAGCCATGGAAAATCACCATTTTTCATAGGCATCTATAAATGGGCCACTATACCATGGCTATGTTGAGTAACCAGAGGGTAAACGATTGCAGAATGTCCACTGCTCCACTTGTGTCACATCATCCAGGCATCCAAATCACCAAGTGGCAATCAGGATTCCACTTGCAACCCGGGGGATGTCTCAAAAAAAAATAAACTGGCAAGAGACCCCAAATAGTGTGCAATCACTAAGGTGGAAACCCTTGAAAACGATTGAACAAGTACAGTACCTTGCCAAAAAAATGCAGAGGAGCCATCAAAGGCATAATAATGCATATATATATGCATGTATTTATATACTCACTTTTAGAATCTTTTAGATAGATTCATTCATATGCACACCCAGAGTTGCGTCACTGTCAACATCTGATCGCCAATGGTTTCAGAAGGACACAGCAAGTTGGACATGACTTATGAACAATTTCAAGTATACAGAAATCCCTGAGGTGTGCCATCTTAGGAAATCAGGAGGCTGTATACCCCTTTTTTGCTGAAAATTCGGCTTAGATGGCATAAACATTTGGTTTTTCCAGTTGCCATCTATTCGGGGAGCCCCAAAAAGCTCCGTAAGAACCCCTCAGTGTCACACTGTTTGTCCCAAGCCTCGTACAAGCCGCTGGATCAGCTCGTCATCGGAAACTGTCCATCTGATCTTGTGGTTTTGCTCAGCTGTTGTGAAGTGATGTTTTTCTGCTCCAGCAACTGCCGGCTGACAAGAGCTGAAATTAGCATCAATTTCAGCTTGACTTGTTTTTTCTTTGTCAAGTGGCACATGTCAATAAGCGTCATTTCCAAACTTCCAGGTGCTTGAGCATAAAGTCATCAAGTGTCAGATCCGAACTAGATGGTATTCTGACGCATTCTGAAATTCCCCTGCTGGTTCGTGGTTGAGCCATCCCCTTCCCACATGGCGGGGTTTCAGCATACATTTCAAAAGATCTTGGAGACCATCAGGGAGGGTTCGCAACAAAAAATATAATCGTCCTACATCTGACTCTACATCCCGTCCAAAACTCAAAAACATTATGATCCGCATGCGATCCAGCTATGCGTCAAAATGCATCCTAAGACTTCCTAAGAAAACCAAGGACTTTGGATGACTTTGGTAGGGTTTTTGGTCATGTTTTCTTGGCACTACCAGCACTACGCCATTCAAATATGGGATGCCCCTATTTTGGACGCGGCTTATTGGTCGCACGAGGTACCATCGGGCGTCGCGCCAAACACGTTGGCGTGTCGGCCCATGTCAACTTTTGGCCTGCAACGGGTCATGAACATGGCGTATCATCTGAATGGTCCTGGAGTTCATCACATTCTAGTACATTTTAGCACGGTGTCTCGCTTAAATATCGCTGAATTATGTCAAACCACCACTTTGGTGGGAATTCGTTGTTGAATGTTTAATCCCGTTTCGCTTCATCAGTTGCCACGTGTTTGGGTACTCCAAGTTTGACGATCAACACCTGGCATCTCCACAGCACCTTGCTAAGCTGCTCCCGTAAAAACTTGAAGCGCTCGACACACTGACCTTTCGTCTTTCCTGGAACCTCAGCTGGAGCCAAGCTGGAAATGGACCCACTGATGTTGATTCTTGAAAGGAGGACCATTGACTCCTGTATTAGGATACTATACATATATATATATTATATGTATGTATATATATATATGCATGTATATATGTGTATATATATATACCATTATATACCCAAGATTGAAGAACATCTTCTCAAATCAGTAATCTGCTGGTGGACGGATGCCGGAAACATGATGTCTGGAAGTGCAAGCAGGTCACATCAGCAGCTATCAGTTTCCATCTTTCGTTCTTATCCAAGGTGGCCGGGTGCCTGGCGCGGATATCATAATGTTCAACATCAATCTGCACATGAGGGCAGGACAGGCGACCAGCAACACCTAAAAAGTGAAAGGCATCCCATCTTCAGCAATAAATATATAATAATATAATATAATATATATATATATAGAATAAAATAAAAGTATATAAAAGTAACAGGCATTCACAAGCAAAAAGCTCAACTGAAAACAAGAAATCGTTGCCTCTGGAGTGCCTTTTCAAGCGCTTGCTGCTGTTCGGCACTCCACTCAGCTGCATCTTCCTGGAGAGGTGCCAAATAGCAAGCCACACATGGCTGGTCCTCTTGACCATTCTGATTGTCAGGGGTCAGTGAGATGCATATTTACTTCAGGGCTCAGTGACCATTCTGATTTTCTTGAGTAACATCAGAATCCAAAAATTGGTTCAATTGTCAAGGAGAGCATATTTATGCTTGAAACCCCTTGATTTGATGAGGAAAAACCATGGTTTCCTGCCAACAACAGCTTGAACCAACCCAATGACAGAAATCTTCACAACTTCCGAATCGGAGGCCTTCTTTTCGACACCATTTTCTGCAGCCTTGCCCTGGAAAATGTCACTGCAGAACTTCAATTTGAAAGCACTGACCTATCCTGCATTCAACAGCAAAAACAAAAGGTTGCATGTTTGCCCATGTCTTACCCATCTTTAGTTCGTTTGCGCAATGTTGGCATTTTTTCCAGCCTATTTTAATTTCGCAGGCGCCTCCTCTTGAACTTGGGCGGCTTGAGCCTGTCGCATCCCGGTGACTGCCGTTTTCAAGTAAATACACCAAAAGGACCAAAAGGCATTAGAAAATACCTAAAACTGTCCCAGGCTGGGATTTTCCATCCTCAGGATCCGCTACGCCGCTATGCCTTGGCTTTGGCTTTGGGAGCTGGTGCCTGGGTCATGGCGGCCATCAAGCAGTAGCGGTGGTGCAGAGTCCACCGGCCTGAAAGCTGTCCTGTCCAATCTTGGAGCCCATAGATCGTAAGGATTGCCCTTCTGAGAGCTCCTGAGAAACGTTGGAGACAAAAATCCGTTTTCGAAAGGCCAGGTTTGTTTTACCTTAGAGTCTTGGATCTTCCCCTCCACAGCCCCATCCTTCGTCTTCTCAACAATCTCCTTCTCAGTTCTTTGGTGCCCGCTATCATTCAGAAATCTCCTCAGCACTGTGAGAGATGTAGATGTCATCAAACATGACACGTGTTTTTTCCTCAACATAATGCCGTCGGGATTCGTAATCAAGTTCCACCGCCCACCCATTCCACCAGGGAACCTGGGCTGGAAGTCTGGCTGAAACAGCACTAGCATTCTATCATTGGATTGGTTTAAGGGAAAATCTACACAGGATGGGGCCCCCAAGATAGCTAAGTTGGTTTATAAGTGGCTTAACAATGGTTTATGGTGGATATAACTATAGTTAATGGGGGTTATAAACCAACTTATAACTGGGGGGCCCCACATTGCAGGAAACCATTGTTATTTGTTCACCATCAAATACAGGGTTTCCGGTAATTTTTACCACGAATCCAATGATTCTGAATGTTCAACGAGGAACTTTTGGAGGCCCTTTGCCAGAAGACCAAGCTCTTCTGTGGTCCATGGGGCAGACTCCTGCTGCAATACAGCTCAGAACATATCAGAAATCAGTGAAGTCAGTGGTTGTTTATTCTGACTCTCCACATTCGTTCCACATTCGTTCCACATAGTTCCACCATACTCTTTGACTTTGATGGCATCCCAATGGCATCCCAATGGCATCCCAATGGCATCCCAATGGCATCCCAATGGCATCCCAATGGCATCCCAATGGCATCCCAATGGCATCCCAAGCATTCTCCATGTGGATCTCCACAATTGTTCACGGCTCCTTGGTATCACTTGTCTTCTGCTCACGCTTCCTTGCCTCTTGTCGCTGCCTCACATCGATGCTCCACCGACAGAAGATGATTTCGCTACCCAATGATGTCAATCTTCCAGGTTGGAGAAAGATACACCCAAGGCTCTCATTCTCTAGCTTCCAGCACTCACCAGGTCTAACCCCAATGACAACCAGCTTCGCGCTGGAAACCCCCAATTTGCATCCATTGACTTGCCCGGCCGATCGCATAAACCATACCCGCCATACCCCAATCACGGGGTCAAATGTATTGTAATCATGGTCATCATGACAACATGTCCACATATATCCAGCATAGTCCTGAATTTTGCTGGCAGCACCCTGAAAAATATCTGTCATGCCTCGTGTGTCAACAAAAACTCACCCCCTGGGTGAACTTCACTGCCTCTCTTGTCTTTCTTGCTCCTCCACCTGACGCTTTTTGGCCTGGCTTGCCGCAGTTGCCGCTACCCTGGATATACCCTGGAGTTAAGGAAGATAAATATGGCAAAAACCCATGCTTTCGCAAGGAAAATGAACCATGTATGGTTGGTTTGAAAGGGTAGATGGCCACTGGACGGGCAATTGACCATCATAAAGTCAGCCATTCAAGAAAGCAGGGCACTTGGAGATCCCCAGCCATACACACTCTGCAGTGTGTGTGTGTGTGCATGTGCGCCCCCATTTTTCCCCGAAAGACTCAGTTTCTCTGGACTGCATGGGTGTTTTTCTCCACACCATGGAAATCGCCACCAGGTTCGAGCTGAAAGCAAACCTCGAAGCTGGGACATCATGACATAAGATCAAACTCCTTGCAACTGTCAGACCGGCACCCTCACCAAGAAAAACCTATACAGGTGGAGATCCTTAAGCATAACCTTGTGAAGATATTATTGCATGTTCTATTGCATGTTCTAAAACATCCTAATACTGCGGTTGCTTCTTGGAATCCATGAAATTTCTGCTGTGCAGCCGTGCTGGTCCTCCATTACAAACTGCAAATTCCAACAAACACTTGAGATTTCAATTGGCATTGTGAAACCATCAGGTCCTTCGAGGAAAAGAAACCTCCATTTTTTACTCTTCACCAGGTGTCATCAAATGCAATAGGTCCTGTTGGCCTGCGAATCCCTTCAGTCAATCCTGGTGGATTTCGGGCCTCAGTCATGAGATTTGAACTTTGAAGATCACCATTTCGAATGTTCCAAATGGCCTCAACCGGAGCATAAATATTATCATGGCTCAATAAGGCGCGAAGAACTTCTGCAGCTTGACCTTGATGCTGTGATCCAGCTCCCTCAGAAGGACTATCTCGTTCTGAAGAGGAATGATCTGAACTCCACGCATGCGGTGTGTGCTCGGAGCTCTCATCATTCTCATCATCGCTGGGACCGCTTTCTTCAAGAGTCCGCCAAGATGGATCAGATCGGCCCAAGCATGCCACTAATTTGGAGGCCAAGATGTTGGGAACGAAAGCCATGTGGGCCAAAGTCATGTTGGTCATCGGAGACGTCCCATGTGCGCACACCCAGCGCTCGATTGCCTTTCGGTCATAGGAATGGCCATCTGCTGCGACCACGGGATCGTTCATTGGACTTTGGCGAATGGGGCAGAGACAATCGTGTTTCAAGTCATCTACAATTCCTGAGGGTCGGTCGAACCCCCACACCTTGTTCACACCTGTTTACCCTCATGTTTCCCCACGGCTTAAACACGAAGTTCCCAAATTACTTGTGTAGCCCATGTTCCTATCTAAAGCACCATCTTCACCCATTTCTGTGAGCTAAAGCCCGCTCCTTCCTGAACCTAAATTTTCCCTGAGTTAAAAGCTGCCATTTTGACCCATACAGTACAGTAAACCCCCATGCTTCCCCCTGTGCAGTTTGACCCCCCAGCTTTCACAAATTTATGTGAGTGAACCTTCCCTTCCCAATTTGCATGGCTTCAACCCCCATTTGTCCTTGTTTGCACGGGTTAATACTCTCCCCCTTAGAGTGGATTGAATCTCAACTTTGTGTAGGCTGATCCGCATCCTTTGTACCTTTATCAGGATCCAACGTTCAACAGTTCATGCGTCTTGTTTGCTGAAAGCAGCATTTTGTCCCCGGTCCTCGGAGCTTCTTGAGTTCCACTTGCATTTGCTCCACATCTGGCATGGCCTCCCTTACAGTCTTCAGCTCTTCCTTCAATGCAGCATTCTCTTCGCGAATATCGTTCTCGACATTTCGAGATGTATACAGATGTAAGTAAAGCTGTTGTATATCCTTGGCACTTTGCGACAATTCTGTCAAGAGGCGAGCCACCTCATCTTCAGCCAATTTGGTTCCTTGTCTTGCCTCTTCCAATTGCATGGCAAGCCTCTCCCTTTCCTCCAAGACCTGCTCAGTGTCCACCAGCCACTGGGTCTGTTGAGCAGCATCCCTTGTGGTTTTCATTTCCAAGGGGCCCAAGGGGCCCAAGGGGCCCAAGGGGCCCAAGGGGCCTTGGCAAGACCTTTGAAGGCCCAGACCGTGAAGCAGGCCCAGCAGGCCCTGCAGTTGATTGAAGTGACTAAGGTCTTCCGAGTCTTCCAATCTTTGGCTCGATCTGTGCGCTGCAGTGGAGAATTTCTGTTTTCCGCACATCCGTCGCTCTTCCCGTTGCAACTTGCAGCGCGGCTTGCTACCCTTTCTCTTGGATGTCTGTTCGCGCAGCGCGGCAAGGTGCAAAGACAAACCTCTGTCCTCAACATGCCTTCGGGAAGAAATGGAAGAAGAATACAACAAAAACAAAGCGAAGCTTAGAAAAGCCAGAAAGCCCATCGCGCAAATGGCGACCACAAGCAGCCCACATTCCACTCCTGAATCGCCCGATTTGGCCGATTCAAATAACATTGACAGCTTTGCAGTGAATGCCCAATCAAACGGCGTGAGGCCACAACTCGGCACAAGTGCCACTAGTTTGCATAACAAATGGCTGCAGCTAAACAAGCTGAAGAACGGGATCTCACCCTTTTCTGGATCGCACGAACACAAAACATGCATATACATAGACAGACAACACATGTATACAAATGTATATATGCTGACAGAGAGAGAGAGAGGGAGGAAGAATAAGAATATACGTATTGTATAAATATATATATATATAACATACGCATATACGCACAATAGAGACAGGAACTGCCCCAGCCCATTGCCTCAGCCATCTCATGCCGGACAAAGGCGTCCGACTCATCTGCGGCGGATTTGGCCTGGTGATAAAGCATTGGTAGATGTGTATCCATGTAGTTCCAAAGGCATATTTTATATACATAACTTCATAGCTGTGTAAAAACATATGTATATAATATGTATACATACATATACATATATATACATACATAGATATGCATATGTATATAATATGTATACATATATATATATATACATACATCTATACATACATACATACATAACATAACATTACACTACACTACACTACATTACAGTACACTACACTACATTACATTGCATACATTACATACATTACATACCATACATACATTACATACATTACATACCATACATACCATACATACCATACATACCATACATACCATACATACCATACATACCATACATACCATACATACCATACATACCATACATACCATACATACCATACATACCATACATACCATACATACCATACATACCATACATACCATACATACCATACATACCATACATACCATACATACCATACATACCATACATACCATACACACCATACATACCATACAAACCATACATACCATACATACCATACATACCATACATACCATACATACCATACATACCATACATACCATACATACCATACCATACCATACCATACCATACCATACATACATTAATTACATTACATACATACATACATACATTACATACATACATACATACATTCATTCATTCATTCATACATACATACATACCATACATACCATACATACCATACATACCATACATACCATACATACCATACATACCATACATACCATACATACCATACACACCATACACACCATACATACATACATACCATACATACATACATACCATACATACATACATACATACATACATTAATTAATTACATTCATACATTCATACATTCATACATTCATACATTCATACAGTCATAAATACATACATACATACATACATACATAGATACATAGATACATAGATACATAGATACATAGATACATAGATACATAGATACATAGATACATAGATACATAGATACATAGATATACATATGTATAATATATAGATATATAATATTATCTAATTATAGACACACTATGTGTATTTATGTGCAATGTCGGCTACGTCTGCTGCCAACTTCAGAGAGAACCTCCAAGCTCTCGCAAAGCTCTTGCAAACGCTCAGCTTCTAATGCGAGGCAAAAATCCTGCAGATCCTCGCGCTTTGGTTTCGGAAACGAAGTGATGCATCCCAGCAATCCCAAGTGATGAAATAGATGTAATACATATATATATATATATGTATAATGTGTATATATATAATGTATATATATATGTGTAATACATATATGTATTTATTATATACTTGTAATCTCTTGTATAATATACTGTACATACAGAGCTGGTGTGAACATGCAGTAAGCATCAAGATTTTAACTGGGTGAATCATGGTTCTGAACCAAACACCAACCGGGGCCAGCACATCCAAGCAGTCCAAGCACACTCTGATAGAACTAGCTGAAAAAAGGTGCAACAGTCCTCCATTTCCATCTTGTCCAGCTTGCACTGAGCTTGAACACTCTTTTTGAATCGCTGGCGCAAAGTTTTCGCGGCCTCCGTGAAAATCTTTCTCCAATTTGGACCAAGAAACAAGTATGCTATGCCTTTCTTGCGTTCAAATGCTGACGCAATTTAAGCCCATGAATCACCAATTCCTTTGCCATGCTTCTAAACCAGTTGTTTTTGGTTGCTCATTGCAATCACTCCCAATCTTCAAAAAACAGCTGAACCCCAGCACTAGGCACCACTCCTGCTTATCTGCTTTTCGCTGCTCTTTCAGAAGCCGTTCCTCAGTTTGGCAGAGATTCGCCCTGCCTGGGATCCGGCCATCATCCAGCCTTCTCTGCTTCTTCTGCTTGTTCTTGCTCAAGTTTTCGACGTTTCTCCTCAAAGCTCAAAAAAAAATGTGAACCCAACATTTGTCACCTGTATGCATCTGTCACGCTCTTGTATGAAATAGAGTCATACATCAAACTACTCTCTCCAAGTGGACGTGATGTCAATGTTCCGGGTCAGCGCCTCTTCCTTCCTCTGCTTTTCCTCTAGCTCTTCTTGTTTGGCGCGTGCACGCCTTTCCTGCCAGCAAAGGCAGGCAAGGCAAAGGCAGGGCCAGGCTCCAGGTCCTCTCCAATTCCTTTCCAGAAAGCTTTAGATCTTGCCAGAATCAAGATCAATGCTCATTTGACAGTTCTTTCCTATGGCTGCAGCTTCGCCAGTCCTTTTCCTCACGCTTCTTGTTCTCTCGCTCCTGCCAAAAATCTTTATGCCAGGGGCTCAACCATTTCCAACCCCTTCCATCATTGCCTCGCGCTCAGCCCGTATTCGCGGGTCAAACTTCTCAGCCTCAACTCCATCGGCGCATGGATTTTTCAAATACTCAGGATAGCTAGTTGGGATATCTAGAATTATCTAGAGTCTAGCATAGAATACTGTAAAATAATTGAACATCTAGAATAGAATAGAACAGAATTAGAATTAGACTTCGAATCAGAATTGGAATTAGAATTAGAATAGAATCGGAATAGGAGTAGGAGCAGGAGTAGCACTAGGAATGGGAATTCGAATAGGAATGGGAATAGGAATAGGAATGGGAATAGGAATAGAATAGATTAGAATAGAATAGGAGAATAGAATTACCATCTTGTTACCTTCCTACAATCTCCTGCCAATGCCAATCCTCCCCAAGGCGGCAGCCAACTCGGCCAGTCGCATGATTCGGCGCCGTTCGGCTTCGACATACCTGGGGACGGTCTGGAACTTTTTGTAATTGGGGTAGTGAAAACCCAGCGGCTAGTCACTTCTCAAGTTCATGGATCATCCCAGTATTCAAGGGTCAAACACTCTTGACTCTAAGTTCCAAGACAAGTTTCACAGAGCTCTGACCCATCTGCAATTGCCAAGGGCACTTTTTGCGAACCCGTTGATTTTGCCTCTCCATCCACCGTCGTTCCTGGAGGCATGGCATTTCTCTGGCTGCAACCACACAGCAGCAATGTGGATGTGTCCTCTCGGAACTCTGCATCTTCGAGATTGTACCTCACAACCAAAACGTCTGGCATATGGGGAACATGGGAAAATGATGGAAAATGAACAGAGCCAAGATGAGCCAAGCAGGCACAGAAGCGATTCATAGAGCACTCGTCGTGCATGGAAAAGTCACGCCAGGAATCAAAGGAGAGCCAAAAATCGTAGAACTGAGCACGGTTGAAGGCGTTTGCAGAACTGGCTAAGTTAAATCTACAGGAAACATAGAGCCAGATCTCGCCAGATCGGTTTTCCTCTCAATTTTAACCGACTTCCGCTGTCATTTCCAGTTTGGGCACCTTATGCACCTTCGACATGTCGGTCGTCTCATTCCCCAATTCGGGCACCGGGAACCTGCGCAGCTTTCCACCGACAAAGAGATGGACCGGGCAGGACCGGGCAGGACCGGGCACCTAGTGCTCCACCGGGCATTGGATCGGAAGACCGGGCCAAAGGTCTCGTAAAAGCCCAGAGTTTCATCAACCTGCATGATGTTTATCATGGATGGCATGCATGGTTTATTGATATTTCATTGCTCGGATTTCAATGCTCTTCTGGCTTGGTTCTGTGCCTCTTCTGGGATGCTATCGTCAAAGTCGAGCGTCGAATCATACCTGCATAGAGTTTTCTGATACCGGATGTTTGCACGATCCCGACACGCCATGGGCCAAGGTCTAAGGGTCAGGCTGTCGACGCTTCGATTGATCGGACAGCACCTACAGTTCAGATGCCCTGGTGGCATCCTGCTGACACTGTTTCAATATCTAGGGAAATCATTGGAGGAAAAGGACAAAAAACATCAACTTTGCTTATTGGCAATGGAGATGTACATATAATGAACATCAATGAACATGTTGCACTACTGAGAAGATTTCCGACAATTCGTGGCACTGAGAAGGGATTCTTCTGTTGATTTGAAATCGATCCAATATTGGATGATTCAGAAACAATTTGCCAGCATACAAGAGAACAATACCAGTGCATGTTCCAGAATCTAGCATGTCACTCGTGTATTTGGTGGCCTCATAGGCTTCTTGGATTTTGATGAAATGTTGGTCCTGCAATCAGCACTGAGAAGGGAAGGATTGGTTTTTCACAGCTGTTCAACAAATTGGATGATCATCCAATGATCCCATTCCTCGAATATTAAACATCCCCATATTTATGGTCCCAAATATGGGCAAATCTCCAAAACTACCATGGTTTCCAGGGGGTGTTGAATTAGGGGGCGGGAGTAGTTCCTGATCACCTGACTTGCGTTGCCATGTCCTTCTCCGAGAGCCCTGAACCTTTCTCTTCAGTCTCACCTGAAATATCCAGTCACTGGCCAGTGGCATGGTTCCCAGGTCCGCCGGGGGTCCCTCAGGCTTGGACCCTGCTTGTCAGGGTGGTACTGCAAGGCCATCTTGCGGTACTGCTTCTTGATTTGCTGCAGCGCTGGGCTGTTGAACATGTTGAACACAGTGTTCACAAATCAGAGGCGACAAAAACCATCAAAAACCCAACTGCCGAAACTCTTCAAAACTTTGGCTAAAAAAAAACAAAATCCCCCACCTCAACGGAGGAGGTCTCACTGACCTCGAGGAGTTTGTACAAATCTTCACCCTGCACCAGGGCACTCAGCTTCAAGGCGCTCTTCCCCGTGCCATCCTTCTTCTTCTTCCTAGGCATGGCACTGGCAGCAGCCACCCATGACCCATGAAGGTTGCCCAAGGGCCAGCTCAGGTTGCGGCTTCCAAGAGTCTGAAGGGGAAGGGCCTTCATCTTCACTCTCAGCATCCTCTTGCGGCCAAATCTCATTTTCAAAAAATAATCAAATAAGATCAAAATAGATCAAATGAGATCGAGTTAATCTCTCAGCACCAGATGGATGTCCATTCCGTAGACACATAACACAAGACTGGCCTTCTTTGCAGCCGCAGGACGCCGTCGGCCCTGCCCACACAGCCCACACTCAACTTGTGAAGTGTCCAACACATTCCCGTTATCATCGCTACATATCGCTACAATGTTTTTATGATCCCAGTTAAACAACCTTTGAGCATGACCACGGGTTGTGGAATATGGGGCTATATGGGGTTCAAAGGCATGGCTATGGATCAGACTTGAGTATACTTGGGGGGTACCAAATGACTCACAAATGGCTGGTAATGTTCAGTCTTAAAGCATCACAGGGGGCCAACAATTTTGGGCCACAAGGTTTCATGAGAATTCTCAGTAAACCACGTCCTATGTCTCCTCTATGGCTTCGTGTGAAAATGTGGTAACCCAATTGCAATGCAATTGAGATTTAATACTGGCCATACATTCAGGAAGAAATATATATATATATCCCATGTTGGCAAAAATCCATTTCCATTATGTGGTGTCCCATTCCCATGATCAAATCCCCTTCTGGCCATCACCAGGTTTCATGGAGGCCATAGCCTCCAACTTCGGTTTCTCATGCACCGCATGAAAGGCATGCCCTGCTGGTTCAACCCTCCGCCTAGGGGCACCGCGTGGCACCGTAAGGGTCAGGCACCAAAAGTTGGGATATGGGGCCCCTCCAACTATGATAATAGATCCACTTACAACTGGTGCACCCCCAAGTACCCGAATTTTCATCCAGGATGTTCAAATAAGACAGTCGCAACTCGTAAAGCACGGCGAAAGTGCCGGACGATCGCAGGCAAATGCCACAGAGGACTTGCGGCTCCTGTCACTGAGCTGGGTGGATCAGCAACCATCAGCACTTGAATCAGCCAAAAGGGAGTGTATGTATGTATATAGCCATGTATAGATCTAGATATAGATGTAAATATAGATATGGATATAGATATAGATAAAGATATAGATACAGATATCGATATAGATGTAGATATAGATATAGACATAGATATAAGATACACTACATATACTAGATAATATAGATATAGTGTATCGGGAGCTGGTTCTCCTTCCCGGTTTTGCTTTCTGACCATCCAACTACAAACCCAAAGCCACGACCGGCCTTGTCAGCATCGCCAGGCGCCGGAAGAGCCAGCATTATTTTTGTAGTTGTCGCATCGTTGCCGCTTGTTGAACACCTTAATTCTGTTGTTTTTCAACACCTTAATTCGTTGCATGTGCTCCTTGAAATGTTTTAAATGACAAAATATACATCATGTCAAAATGGTATGCCAATCTTGGGATCTTTCTGTAGATTCATATGTTTCATGTCGAGTTGGACCAGCAAAATGTTTAAATTAACTCCTATTTTTACATGTTCACATTGGGCTGATTTCCAAGCTGAAAATTAAATCATGTTTGAGCCATTACTAGGGGCTGGCTCCAGAATTTGGCGACCCAAATGCAAAAAAAACAACTTCCCTTCCATGCACTGCTGAAGATCATGCGAATGAAGAGAAACATGCGGAGCCTTTTCCGGAAGCTCATGTGAGAAACAATTATTACCATGCATATATGCAATATGACCATGCATGGCAATTCCGCACATGCTTTGTACGATGATTTCGTACAAATTTTGGAGATCTCCTCCAGAAATCGATGAACGGCAGCCGCTGAGTTGCTCAGTGCTTCCAGCCGAATTTCAGTTATGTCCTGGAAACTAAAGACTTAGTGACCTGGGTATGTCTCAGGCTTCAAACTCAGCCAAAATTATCCAAAATGTCACATCCGTCCATCTCAAATTTCACATTTCTGGTTTCAAGGTCCAGATCCGCTTCAAAACCTTGAGATACCCAAGCAGTTCAAAACAGCTGTGGTTTTGATCTGTAGTTTTTCCAACACCGTTGGCAAAAGCCATTCTGCGCGACCCCAAGGACCCCAAGGAGCTCTGGTGGCTTCCCTCAGGTGGTGGCCACCTGGTTTTTGGCTGGAGATGTTTCGGAGGCCAGAGGCCTATAGTTGAGCCCAGGATTATACCTGGCAAACTATGGATATAAACATACAGATATCTTACATTATATTACTATATATTATATATATATAGATGATTGGTATATGTGCATAGGTAACTTGTAACTCATTTGACCCATCCCCAAAGTTCCGGACACATAGATGTTACCATTTTACACAAGCTGCTGGTGCTAGCATTGTGTCAGCCTCATGCCTGAGGTAGCAACTTGGCTACTCCCAGACTGTGGTGCACCAACCACTCCTGACCGCAGAGCCTCCGAGACACGACAGGCTTGATGGAGTTGACATGATTTGAGATCCTTTACAAAACGCGAATCGAGAGGCGCAGGATGAGGCACTCCTTTTTCTGACAAAGCTCAGCAACAACTTCCTAACCGCACGGCACTTTCTTTTGTGTCTTGCTGATTAGAGGTAAGAGTATATATATAATATATAATTCAAATCAAGCGAGGAGTTTGCTAAGAGCCAGGGCTGAAAGCATTTCTGGAAACGAATAACTATTGACAACAAACAATGCAAATTGGGTGACTTATGTGATAGCCGACGGCTTTCAAACATGTTCAAAGTGGGTTTCACAAAAGGTTGAAGGTTGAATTGAGTGTTCCGCTCTGCCCCCATGTCTGTGAGCGTGTGGTTTCTAGTCAGGCAGCAGCAAGCTCCTTGCTTGTAAATGGATAAGATAAGACCCAAAAAACTATCAAAAGATGTCAAGAGTGCGCAGCAGGGTTCTTGAACTCTGTCCGACAACTTGTCCGAAACCCTTCCCGCGCAATTCAGAAGGGTGGCAAGCCCCACTCTTCTGGCCGAAAGTCCTGCCAATGAGAGAGTGGTTGCGCAGCCATCAGAAAACCATGGGGTTAGGATCAGGATTTAAAGACTGCAGCTTTGACAATCAAGCTATCTTTATCATCTTTGACCTCAACTCCAACTTATCCAATCCATAGCTGCCATAGCTTCACATCAACGGACCCCAATGGAACCCGCATCCTCCAATGATCTGAGCTCACAATGTGCAAATCCACAGGAGCTGCGGCTCAAATTCTCATCGGGCACATGACAAACCTGCATGCCCGCAGCAAGGCCGGCTTCCACGCCGCTGGGGGCATCCTGCCGTTTTTGCAGCTTGACGCAGTGTTCACTGGCTCTAGGGTGTGTTGACTGGACCGAAATGTTCACTCACAACCATCAAAATTTTCCCCAAAACATGTGTGCTAGCTTCCAGCGGCAATGGTGTAATATCTTCGACAACCAGGAGAATCACAAGAGTTTAGAATCTCAGCAACTTCTCTCCTCAAAGACGAGCACTTGCTCAGTCGCAGGTGGCGACGCAAAGAGCCCCGCTGCATGGGTAAAAATCTCAGGATTCGGTTTGGACTTCGTCACCTCTGAAAGGACAAGGTGGCCAATGACAAGCCGCACTTCGTGGAAGAACTCTCCCAAAAACTCAGGATGGATATGGGAGGCTGATCGGCTGATCTCAAAAATCTCTGGAACCAGGCCTGGTCTCCAGTGACGATGTGAGTCATCAAACCAAACAGCTCTTTGTGCAGGCTGGTCTTCAGATCAAAGTGACGCCGATGAGAAGATGTGGCTACTGCCATTGGGATCCCATACCTGCCATGGATTGAAACTTGATGACAAGGGGAATATGGGGTTGTCCCAAAAAAAAATCACATGGTTTACCATTCCTGTCCGATTGAAGAAGCCATGCTATCCCCCATTGCCACACAAACTCAATATGCGAGCTGTGACCTGACTGAGTCACCAAATTCTCTTTATCTCTTTCCATTGAATCTGGCAACTCAAGGACGAAATCAGGAAACTGTTCCCCAATGCTGAGCACAGTCTAACTTGATCGTTGACAAGCATCTGCATTTAAGGCTGGGAACCAAAAGAAGCTCAGAAATCAGAAAAAATGATTCATCTTTTGGGGAGGCAACTCTGGGCATTTTTCTGTACCTTCACAGCCATGTCCCATGGCCTTTGTCCGCTCCCCACCTGTGGAGATGTCGAATCAGTCGTTCCACACCAGGCATCAGCGCTGCCTTGGCAAAGAGAACATCTAACCTGCACAGGCCGGCGCGACAGCAAAGCCTGGTGGTTGATGGCCATAAAATGGGGATTTGACCAATTTAAACCGATGGAAATTTGGAGATTTAGCTCTCCAAAACATGGATTTTTACCCATTTTCTGGAAATGAGTGTGTCCACAAATTGTACCCAAATTTATGACCATCTTAATTCGGAAACTGACGCTTTAAGCCATGAGATTTCGGGGTCCCCTGTTGGCTCCAAGAAACGACCATTGAAGCAGAAAGATCTACTGTAGACTGTAGATGCTTCTCATTTCACGAATCCAGGACTGAAACGAGCTGCAAAATCTGGGGATGGGTCAAAATTCAAGATTCGGACCATAGATTTTAGTCCATTTTAGTATTTACAGTACATCTTAGTATTTATATATATATATACATACATGTAGTATTTACCATCCATTTTGGGGTACCCAATTTTGACCCAAAGCCATCTCTCCATTCGCTTGCGCTGCGCACCGCACCTCCTTTCCCGCTCTTCCAAGAACGCCTCTGCAGAGATCTCATTGTGGAGTCCCAGTTCGTCAATGCAAAGCTGACAAGCTTCCAATGCCTCGCACAACTTTGTGGCATCAGCCAATGGCAGATTCAGAGGATTTCAGAAGAGCATCAAAGTTTCTTTATTTGTCAGAGATCACCAAACTGCTCACCTCTTCATCTGAGTTGACCAGTTGCATCTGGCATATGAGCAGCAACATGTTTTATCCAGCTTTTCAGCTCGGAAAAACTCCTCGGTCTGTTTTGGAAATCGAGGCAGTGACAGCTTTGCTGTCAGCTGCGGCATGCATTTATCACTATACACAGTCCCCGCGTCTTTGGCCACCTTTGTTGGCTGCCTGTGGCCTATGCTCTCTCGAAGGCATCCCATTTATCCTGGTCTACTCCCTTTAGAATGGAAGGGACCATGGCGGAAATGATTTTCTCCATGTCTGAACAGCTGGCAGCTCTGGTGGTGTATGTGAACTTGGAAAAGGTCCGCAGACCACGATCTGCCGACCTCAAGTCTTCACTCACCAACTTCACCACAAAGGGCCCTGCTGTGGCTCCAGGATCAGCATGGTTGCTGACGAAGGCAAACCATGCCACCCGCACCTGCCCACCATTGGAGACCAAAATCATGTACTTTGGCTGCAAAATCCGCGGCGGCACTTTGTGCCGCATCGCGAAGTCGAAGCCCGGACTGGCGCTGATGAAATACATGATGCGATCGACTACGGACCACTCTGAAGTCATGCCGAGATCGATTGCACCAGGGATTCTTCCAAGCTCCTGTTGCAGCCACCTAGGAAACTCAAGGTGCATTTTGCTGCTGTACCTTGCCTTGAAGTGACTTGAACACCAACAACTTCACTTTGCTGGGAGCGCAACCACTTCAACTTGTTGTAGCAAACCTGCACCAAACATATCGAATGTAATCTAATTCAACACCAGCAGGCAGACAGTCATCAATACCTTCAATCCTCTCACCAGCCAAAACCAGCATCCTGCCATCCCACCATTCATTAAATACATTGCTTGGACAGACTTTTAGCCCTTTGAAAACCATGGCATCCTGCAGATTTCGGAAAAAAAAAAAACTCGCATTCCACACCATCGCCTTCTCAGCCACTGCAGTGTCACCACCATCGGGGCCCATGCCCATAGGCAGATCCACAGGCAAAGACACTCCCGGCTGTCGACTGGCCGCGGTGAAGATCCAGAGGTCCTTTGTCAACTGCCGGGTGGCTATGGTCTGTCGTCTGTGGGAACAACTTGAAGTCCCCCAAATTGGCCATCCATTTTCGTAAGCAAAATGATGATAAATAATGGGAGGTTTCAGGGCGTATATGTTTGTATGTTGCTTGTTATGATTTTGTGTTGGGGTTCAATGTTTCATCTTCGCCTTTGATGTTTTTTCAGGTGGGGTTTTGGGGGTAATTTTGTTGCTAAAGTGATGTGTCAATGTTTGGATTGAATGGGGGTAGGATTTGTTTAGGCTGTTGGGGTTTTTGTTTGTGTTTGGGTGGGTGATTACTTCATAATATGTGTTGTTAAGATATTATGAATTAATCATTTATGCTTTCCACTTTCCTATTCCATCCCACCAGTGTTCAATCACTCTCATTTGTGTTAAGCAGGGTTTGTTTGTATCATTCAGTTCATCCATCGCTATTGATAAAAGAGTTATGTTAATAATCATTGCGTTGAATTCACCATCACGGTTGAGTTCCTTTCCACAATCAATGATGACTTTTTTATCAGTCAGGTTTTCATACATCTTTTTCATAATGTCAAAATTTACAAACATATATATCGTCATATTCTTTACCCCTTCCCCTGATTTCATCCTATCAATTACTTTCTTCCAAAACGTTTCTCCTTCCTCATCATCTGGTGAAGGCATAGGATGGCACTTTACAAAGTCTCTAATCTCTTCATCTTCTTTTTCTATTTGTTTTCTTTCCCAATCATCGTCCTGACTATCACTACCAAAGTCAGCATATATACCAATATTCCCTGTATCTATAACCTCAATTTTTGCTCTACTCATTTTCTCTTACTTTTTGTATTTAAGTAGGTGCTCTTTTAATTTCTTCTATGTTCAAATATTTCTCATAACCGTTGAACAGTTCTTCAACATATTCACGCAAGAAAATTTCCAAAATGTCTTTTATCTTGAACTCCCTGTTTCTAAACATAAAAGTTCGTTCAACATTAGGAAACCACCAGCATCTTCGTTGCTTACTGTAATTGATGAAATTAAGGTTGTGAAAGTTCTTTAGAATATGATAAGTGTATTTCCAATGGTTTTCTTAATCGCTTGAAGATATATCTTATCTTTTTGAAATTCTACCTTCAGTTTATAGGTGTCCATTAAAGCGTCTATTTCTCTCTTCATTACTCTTACATTTGTTCGGTCGGTGTTGGATAAATAGATAGGTGATTTTTCCATCCTTGTTTTAAAGAAATGTATTTGTTTTTCAACTCTTGTTAGTTCTTTCTCTTCAAAATGGTCAAAATGATAGTTGAATGTTATATATCTGCGTTCCTTATCATTCAACTCTTTACATTTTGAACAGTGAAGGTTGTAATCACATATCTCATCACAAATTCCAGCAGGAAAAATGTTGTTCAATAAAACCTTAATGTCAGTCATTTCTTTTTTACAACATCCACAGTTTTTATAGGTAAATAGCATCCTCTTACTATATATAGGTAATTTTTCTTTAAGTAGTTTTTGGGGGGCTCGTTCAGTTTTCGGGCTCGGGTTGGTTTTTATTTTCCCTTTCCTCCTCTTCCAGTTCTCTTATGACCATATCTATTTCACTCATTCCTTGGTTGGGGTCTTGTCCATTGGCGAGGTTTCTTAACCTCTCAAAATCCTTCACTTTATGTCTTTCATTGGGTGGGAGGGTTTTGAGATGTTCCTTCAACTCTGTCAGGTCAAAGTGTGTGTCTTCCTCCTCATCCTCATTTTCCAAAAACATTTCCATTCTTTGCTTTTCCATTTCCATAAGTTTGTTTTCCATATATTGGAATTTCATTTGCTTCTTGTAGCACTTGCCACACACATTCACGAAGGTTTTGGGCAAGTAGTTCCAATTAGGTTGGTTTCTATCGTTCAGGGTTATAACATCTGTCATTATACGACATCCACAGTCAAATTTAGTCATCTTATTTAGTCTTACTATATATAGGTATTTTTTCTTTAAGTATATTTTTTATTGTTGATAATTTTAAAAATCTAATATTATAATATATGGCAAGGAGACTATCAAGAGATGACATCATAAGCAATGTCTATTATAATCTTGAAACGGGCTTCGGTTCAATCAATGAGACCCTTAAGAAAGCCAAGGAGCAAGACCAGACCATCAACAGGGTGGATGTGGAAAACTTTATGAGGAAACAGCCCAACAAACAGATTAGAAAATACAGGGGGTCAAACTCCTACACCGCACCCTTCGCAAGGTTTGAATATCAGATTGACATAATGGATATGAAACCCCTTACCAAAGAACCAGAGACGAAAATTCCCATCAAGAACGATGAACCGAGATATGGGTTGGTGGTCATTGACATCTTCAGCAAGTTGGCAAACGTCGTCCCTATGAAAGAAAAATCCGGACCAATCACATTGTCGGCGATGAAAGAGGGTTTCAACAAAATGGGTTTTCCAATGTCCGTTTATAGTGAAAATGACCGTGCCTTCCAAGCAGGGGTAAAAGAGTTCTTTGAGAAAGAAGGCATCACTCACGTCGTCACCCTAACTCACGCCAATGTTGTGGAGCGTTTCATAAGGACAATGAAGAATATGATACACGACAGGGTGAGGTTTAATCGCGGTAGTTGGACTGTAATGTTGTCCAAAGCGTTAGATAAATACAACGACACCGTCCATTCATCCACCAAAATGAAACCCAAGGATGCCCACGACGACAAGAACCATATGGACGTCAGGGTGAATTTGACAAGGAGGGAAAAGAACACTCGCAAATATCCAGAGGTCAAAGTGAATGATATGGTCAAGGTCTTTGAGAAGAAAAAAGACAACTACACCGAGAGGAAGGAGTATAACTCAAAATGGAGCAATCAATCCTACAAAATTGTCAAGATAGAATACGATGATGTCGGAAACAGAACCTTCAAACTGGAAGGATTGAACAAACCGTATTTGAGGCACGAGATTTTGAAAGTATAAAAAATTATCTATAATATTAATATATGACAGAGGTAGTCGTAAAAGAGATTGATAATGAAGAACCCAAGGAAGAAACAATACCAGAACCAATACAGGAAGAAGCACGGCAAAGCCCTGCTTCCTATCGGGAAGCACCGAAAGAAGAGGAGAAACCAGAAGAAACAATTGAACCACCCGTTGAAAAGAAACCGCAACCAGCGCCAAAGCCCAAAAGGGTAAGACCGTCAAGGGCGAAACCACCTTTTGACCCAGAAGCATTCAAAAACGACCTTGTAAAGCAACTGAAGGAAGAACTACAGAGTGCAATGACCGCCAGAGACACCTACAACAAAGCCAAAGAGGAAAAGAACAAAGCGACGAGAGAGAAATTGAAATCTTTAGCATCAAAAATTTTATAAAGTATTATATATAAAAATGAACATCAAGGAACAGAAAACGGAACTCAACAAAACTGACATCTACGAAAACGTCCGCAAGGACATCAACAGAAGACAAACCGTCCATTCAAACAAAAGTGCCAACTACAGGAGCGGAACGCCCGAAATGCCAGACAGAAGAAAAAAAGTGTATAGTAGTTATGACCACTACTACCACAACGACAGCAACACGGCAAGGATGCCAACTCACAACCATCATCTTTACCTAAAGCGTCTTCTTGAATATCACAACACCGAGCACGACTACAAGGTCTTACAAGTAAAGCAGAGGATGAAGGAAGAGAATGAGATGCTACAGAACGAAATGACAAGGTTGAGGGAGGTGAGGAAAAAGCACAGATTGGAAGATTACGGGGCGAACGTCCAGAATATGAAACAGAGAATTGATGAGTATAAGCAGTGGTTGAGAGGCGATACACAAGATTAATATAAAAA